ACGATGCCGAGCTTCCCAAATTAATCCCCAGGTTTAACATAATTTCTGTCAAGCAATGAACGTTAAACATTAAATATGAATATATAGTATAAAGATATTATACAATTATGTGTAATAAATATAAATATATATTATATAACATGTATACATTTATATATTATAACATATGTTTAAAAATAGATCTTTTGTTATACCAAGTAAAGTTTATATAATTGTCACCAGGTTTCATCTGTCTAGATTTTGTTAATGTCTAGGTTTTGTTAATGTCTAATTACTTGCTAATTTTCAGTTACATTACCCATTTGTTATTTTAATTATATTTAATTTATAATTAATATATAATTTATTTAATTAAATTAATTATGGGGATATGAAGACAGGTCTTTCTTCTAATTGCGGTTGATAAAATGAATATGCACAGTCATAATTAAATGTCTATTTTTAAAGAATACAGAAAGATGTGAGATTAATCAGAATTTTCTTTGTTTATTTCACATATGATATTAAAATACATTAAAAATTAATAGAGGTCCCAATATATTTTCTGTTTGTACTAACTCATTTTCAGGTTTTCATCCATTGTTTTAGGGTATTCACTCTATCTCTTAAATTGCAAGATATTTGAGAAAATTTAATAGTTTTTTGTTAAACAAATATCTGATGAGTATTTCTGTCCTCAAACCTAAATTTCCTGACTTTTCTAATCAGAGTGAGAGATTATGACTTTAATATTCACACAAACTGTTTCCACTAACAGCAATTCATTACTCAGAATATGTGAATTTCTCTGTTTTGATTCCATCATTAACATAAAATATGTTGCTTGTTATTACAATGATAATTAAAATCACTCAATGCATTAACACACACATATTAACTGTTAAATAAATAATAATTTATGTTATAATTAATATAATTATAATTGTTAACTACTTTTCCTCCACATTGTTCTAAAGGAACAAGGTCATAAATATAAATATAAATAACAACGAAGCATATCATGATTATTCCTAAAACATTTATTAAATGGCTAATTGTTAATTGTTTTTTTTTTCCTCTTCCAATTTCCTTTTGGCATTTATTTCATTTTCTCTTTTGAAGTTCCCCCTTCAGACTTTTCCCTTCTTTTGCTATTTTTAAAAGCGTATTGCTATAGTTTGGATGTTTCTCTTCACTAAACCACGGGTTGAAATTTGATCCCCAATGTTGGAAATGAGTGCCTAATGAGAGGTGTTCGGATCAGGGAGGGGATCTCCGTGAATAGATTAATGCCCTCCTTGGGGTAAAGGGTGAGTGAGTACTCAATCATTAGTTCCAATGAGAGCTGATTGTTAAGAAGAACCTGGTACCTCCTCTCCTTCTCTCTTGCTTCTTCTCTCATTATGTGATCTCCGCGTATGCCAGCCCTGCTTCATCTTCTGCCATGAGTGAACACAGCCTGAAGCCCTCCCCGAGGAAGGCTTCATAGCTGATGCCATGTTTCTTTTATAGCCTGCAGAACTGAGCCAAATAAACCTCTATTATTTATAAATTACCCAGCCTCGGGTATTTCTTTACAGCAACATTAAATGGACTAAGACACATATTTTCCTTAAAGTATGTTTACTACATTTTTTATTTTCTGTACCATCCTCTGAATTGCTCATTTAAACAAACAGAGATAGAAAATATACTACTAATAAAATAATTAGCTTAAAAGTAAATATAAATATGTAGTAATTTAATATAAGTTCATGTTCCTTGTTGTTGACTTCAAAATAATAATTGTGCATTTTCCATTTTCTGTCTCTTATAATCCAAGGTAAATTTTGCTTCTTGAATCTATCACATTATTTTTTCTGCATGTAGGAAATGAGTAGAAAATGAATAGAATGCTTCTTTCTTTTTTTTTTAATAAGTGGAAAATATTTTTAGATTTTAACTTGGAAAAATTTACTCAGAAGTATTAGAATGTAAGAAATAAAAGCATCCGTGTGTTGTTCAATTATATATGTATACTTATACATATATAGATATATATTTCATTTGTATATATTCAACTATATGTTTTTGAATTTTACATTCATAAGCATATATTCATAAACATATACAGTTTATAAATATGAAAAATATTAAAATAAAATTTAAAACCTTTGCTTGTTTAACATAAATCCAAACATTTTAGTGTAAAATAGCAAACAAACAAGAATTTATTGTATTTTCTCTATTAGACTTCATTAGAGTAAAAGTTTACAAAACAAATAAACTCAGGAAAATATATGCTCAATAAACTCCCGAAAAGTAGAAACCAGATGGAATGAGTGGTGATAGATGACACAGGTGAAGAAAATGTCATAAGGTGCTTTAAGTAGCTGTCTCACCTTGCAAAACTTTCTTTGAGAAAACAGCTCAGGTTAGAAATTGATAACATCAGGAATTATGGAAGACATGTAGCTAAAATAAAGTGCATTAATAGGCACCTCCAAATGAAACAGTGAAACACACACACACACACTCACACACTTATGGCATACTCACAAAGTAGACCATTATTCCCTCCCACTACTTTAGTTCTGCTGGGGAAAAAAAAAAAAAATCAGAGTTTTTGTTGTTATTGTTGTTTGTTTGTTTTTCCCAAAGTAATTAAACAATCTGTCTTGGTAGCCTGGGAAACACTAAGGAAAATTTGAAAGCTGATATACTAAAGCAAAATCTTCTACTTCCTGCAATTGTTTGATTCAAGAGCATGATGGTTGGTACTTTCTATGTCTCTCCTAAAATGAAATCTGGCAATAGATCTGCTGTACTGTGAAGTTATATACACACTTCCTTGTTGTCACACCAGATATTTGAGAAATTAAAGAAAGAGAAGAAGGCATAAAAAATGAAAAAAATCTAATGAAAATGGATAATTCAAGGGATAAATACATAAAAATAAAATAAAAAACAACAGCAAAATATTAACATTCAAATAAAGAGTCCCAGAAATATTCGAGAAGCTATTACATCCATAATATGAATCTGCTGAGTGTGGACTAAGAGACAGAGAAGATAAGGAGGAGAGGAAGGGTTAAAAACTGACTGTTGGGACTATTCTCAGTACCTGGCTGACAAGGTCATTTGTAACCCAAACCTCAGTGTCATGCAATATACCCAGGTAACAAACTAACACATTTATATCCCTATGTCTAATATAAAAGTTGAAAATAATAATAAAATCCAAAATATATAAACACAAATTACATATGTGGGTCACAATTCTGCACAATAGAAAACTATGTACCAAGATTCCTGTCCCAGTACGCTTTAATTCCCTACTTATAATTTCCAGGAAACCAAAGGCGTAAATGTACTGGCTTTTTTAGACACCCAGAGATGTGAGCATGTTCCCATATAGCCCTTCCAATTGCATCCTGACCCACAGCACCCCCTGCTATTTCAGTTCTAAACAAAGATTTATGTCAAAATTTAAAAATATGTATAATCATCTGTAAAAATGGTCTCAACTCCCAAATTTGAAGGTGACAATATTATACTTTTGATTTATTTCCCTTTTTTGATGCTAAATTTTTCAAATTTGATTGATTGATTGATTGATTGATTTTTAGACAGGATCTTACTCTGTCGCCCAGGTGGGAGTGCAGTGACACCATCACAGCTCACTGCAGCCTCAACCTCCCTGGTTTCAGGTGATCCTCCCATCTCAGCCTCCTGAGTAGCTGAGACTACAGGTGTGTGCCACCATGCCCAGCTAACTTTTGTATTTTTTTCTAAAGACTGGGTTTCACCATGTTGCCTAGGCTGGTCTCAAACTCCTGGGCTCAAACATCTGCCTGCCTTGGCCTACTAAAGTTCTAGAATTATAAGCATGAACCACTGCACCCAGCAATTTTTATTTTTATTTGTCAAATAATATAATTGGTTATATGTATAAGACACAATGAGATGTTTCAATATGTATCTACTTTGTGGAATGATTAAATCAAGCTAATTAGTATATTTGTCACCTCACATACATATGGGTTTTTGTGGTAAGAATATTTAAAACTTAATCTTTAAGCAATTTTGAAATATACCATCCATTTTTAATTATTGTCAGCATTCTGTGCAAAAGATCACTATAACTCAAATCATAAGACATTGCCTTACTTTGTGGATAAAAATCAAGGTCAAAAAATATGTTTACATATACAAACACACACACACACACACATATTCATACTTGTATATTTATAATACAATCAGCATGAATTTAATGCAGATTCCAATCAGAAATGACTTAAACATTCTTATAATGTGTTATGCTGCCACAATTATAAAAATAGTATTTGCTCTCTCTCAAGTAATACAAAAATCTTGCATTCATATGTTAGACTGCCTACTATCCTCCTTTGCCCAAGAGGTACATGATACAAGCAAGCCAATTGTAGAACAGTATCCCTCTAGATGCAGTAATAGCTGCAAACATTTATGAATTTGACACAAGCCAAATTTGGCTAGATAGCAGTCTTTTATGGCAATTTTTCCAGTTGAAAGGACACACTCTTTTCCCTTGAATTGCGAGTTATGAGGATGAGTACATAGGGATGACTATACTTAAGTATAATTCATGAAGAACTAGAGAAAACAAGGCAAATAATCCATAAACAGAAAAGGGAAATAGAGAGTTTGAAAAAAACAAATTCAGATTCTAATCGTATCATTCAACACAGATGACGCTGGAACCTGCTTTAGGTATGTTTGTTTGTTTATAATTTATTCCAGAGACTAGAACTGAGTCATAGCGCTGCTTCAAGGTACATGGTGAAGTCTAAAGTAGGCAGGGATGCCTCTGGGGGTATATTTTGGAGGAGCAGAAGCAGCTCCTCATCTAGAGTAAGTGCAGCATCACGGACTCTGGGTTAATCCATCAGTTGCGGTCGGTGTTGATAAAGTCTGGGGAAATCCTCAGTGTTGAAAGCTGCAAGTGTCTGCAGTGATGAGGGCCATTATGATCCTCTTTTTTTGTTTTTCCTACACAGGAAAAGGCTACACGGAGGGGATCCATCCTGGTGCCAAGCTGTACTCAACCAGGGGAATAAAGTTTCACAGGTAAAAAGTTTCTTCAATTTTTCTATGAGGGCATCTTTAGTTTTAGTTTTTATGCCACGCAAACTTCCTGCATTGTTTTCCTTTTTGTGTGTGGGAGGGCTGTGAGCATTGGGAATTCCTAGTCTGAACATTCCTTATATTATTCTTTAAGAAGTTTCCTATAGATAGTATATAGTTAACGGTTTTGTTAAATGTGCATATATGTGATTATTGATATAACTTGACTTCTACCATTTTGATATTTATTTGTGGTTTGGTATTCTATTATTTGTTCCCTAAGTTGCAATTCTTTCCTTCTTTTGTATCTTTTGTATATATCTTAAATCTTCTCTCTTGGGGGAGCACACTTTCAACATAATTTTTATAACGGTGGTTTAGGGAGATATAAACATCTCTAAGATTTTATAATCTTTTAGTTTTAATATTTTCTGACTGCTAACAAAATGTGGAAGGGTTTCAATCATTACATCCCCTTGCCCCATTTCATATGTTATAATCACACAATACACTAATATTCTTTGAAAACTACTAATAATATGCAATATATTGTGTGATTATAACATATGTAATGAAGCAAATGTTTCCTATCTGCCCTTTGTAATTGATAGTTTTAAACAATCGAACTTCAATTTTACTGTTTTTTCTTTATCTTTATTATGCTCTTGAGCCTATCCTTTATATATTTAATTCAAACATTTTTTATTTCTAAAATTTCCATTATTTTTATTGTTTCATTTTCTCTACTGAGAACTTACATCTTTTCATTTATTTCAACTATAGTTACTATGACCTCATGGAGAATAGTTATAATTTATATCTACTTTAATGTCTTAATCTTATAAACCTAAACCCAATATCTGGGTCATTTTGGATTGGCATCTGTTGTTTTTCTTTTCTTTTTTTTTTTTTGAGGATTAATGTCATTTCCCTCAGTGTTTGGATATTGACTAAATTTGGCTTTTACCATCAATGTTTTGAATATTAAATTGTAGATTTGGCTACAAACTTAAAGACTATAGACTATTAAAATACTCTAAAGCAGAGGTCAGCAAGCTTTTTACGTACAGAACTGGATAGTAAATCTTTAAGACTTTCCACACCCTATGGTCCTGTTGTGACAAACTGACTCTGCCATTTTAGTGCAAAGACAGCCACAAATGATCTATTAATGAATATATGTGCTGTATACAATAAAATGTCATTTACATAAAAACAGGCAGTAAGATGGACTTGGCCCACGAGCTTTAGTTTGTCAAGACTTTGCTCTTAATAATGTTGATCTATTTGTTTTAGTAGATATTTACCCTAGGTTGGTCAAGACTACAAATTCTGTCTTGGCTCTGTGATCTGTATTCCCAGCATCAGTACAGTTATCAAATGGATTTTTGGTCTCCTTCTTTGGGTGTCCTTTATGTACTGCTTTAGCTATTAGTCTGAATCTTGGGTGGTCGCTTAATCTCAGCCCAGCCTTTACATATTTCTTTGTGTCTTCTCAACACATGCTCACAAGGTTGGCAATTTTTGTGTCAGTTTAAACTGAAGTTCAGTTTTCTACAAATTTGCTGTTCTACTTTTGGTCTGTCATGTTTATATGGAGCACAGAGGTAACACCTGAACTTGTACAGTTTCATATACTCATGAGAAGTAGGATATTTCAACCTCCAGCTCTCTTCTCTTCTCTCTAGGATTTCCTCTGTACTTTCTGGCTGAAGATTTTTCCTGGTTTTGTTCTTGTTTTTTTTTTTTCTTTTGTCCTATAACAGGCTTTTCATTTTAAACTTTAGCTGTCTGGGCCAATACCACTGTGGCAAGATGCTCTGACTAGAGTCTATGAGTAGGTTAAATCTGCAAGAGAAAAGATTATGTGTTGCTTTACCAGGTTTTAGCTTGCTTCCAAAATCCATCTTTTAGTTTACTTTTTAGAGACCTTGTGAATTATCCTGTTGGGCTCATGTAATTGCAAGTGTCCTTAAAAGACGAAAGAAGGAGGCAGAAGCCAAGACTTGGAGAGATATTTGAAGATGGTCCACCGCTGGCTTTGAAGATGGTGAAAGTAGGTATGAGCCAAGGTCTTTAGAGTCTGGAAAAGGTCAGAAAATAGATTCTCTCCTAGAGCCCTCAAAAGAGACACCTCTGTCTGACACCTTTATTAGGCTCACCAAGATAGATTTTGGAATTCTGACCTCCAGAAGTGAAAGAGAATACATTTCTATTTTTTTGAAAGGATTAAATGTAGGATAATTTGTTACAACATTATAGGAAACTGATATAATAACTTATCTATGACTACCAGAAATTGAAATATGATACGTAATTTCTTTTTTTTTTCTTTTTCTTTTTCTTTTTTTTTTTTTTTGAGATGGACTCTCGCTCTGTCGCCCAGGCTGAAGTGCAGCGGCCGGATCTCAGCTCACTGCAAGCTCCGCCTCCCGGGTTCACGCCATTCTCCTGCCTCAGCCTCCCGAGTAGCTGGGACTACAGGCGCCCGCCACCTCGCCTGGCTAGTTTTTTGTATTTTTTTTTTTTTTTTTTTTTTAGTAGAGACGGGGTTTTCTGGGTTAGCCAGGATGGTCTCGATCTCCTGACCTTGTAATCCGCCCGTCTCGGCCTCCCAAAGTGCTGGGATTACAGGCCTGAGCCACCGCGCTCGGCCGTGATACGTAATTTCCAAATAATTCTAAGAAAAAATAAATACAAAACAAACATAAAACAAATAAAATTAAAATCACAAAAGAGAATGATTAAAAATACCTGTTGATATTTATTTGTTTGTCTGCAGAGGATACACATAAAACATAATCTCACAGATTAGTTAAAAATAAAGAGTTTTGAAACTCTATGCTAGGCAAAGTATAAACCAAAAGGAAATTAGATATGGCAAACATTGTTAATATTTACTTCCAACTTTCATATCCAAATCACTTTCTCACCAAGATGGCTTAATGGGACAATGCTAGATGATAACACATAAGTATAATTAGTGTCCTGGGAACAGTTTAGTTTTCTGACAGAGGCATCTGTCAGTTTTCCTCCCCATTCTTTTTTGCTGCAATATAGATGGCGTGGCAGAAACTTCAATACTCATTCTGTGTCTGATTCAAAACACTAGATGATATTAACAACTATTGCCCTCTCATTATTAAGCTGCTGAATTAGAATAAAAAATGTCTGCCTGCTGATTTTTTTATATGAGGAAAATAAAGTTCTATGTTTTTAAGTCCCTACCACACGTTTTTCTGTTCCTTGAAGCTAAACGCATTATTGATTTAATAGGAGGGCAGTAATTTTACTATCATTCAAGTGAAATTTAAAGTGAGCCATAGCATAGTAGATAAAGATAACTATGGCTTTGGAAAAAATAGAGTAACACCAACATACTATAAAAATACTGTAGTTATGTTCCTAAAATATTTTTTGAGATGCACACACACTCACACACACACACGCATATATATATACACATACATACACACCCATATGTATGAACATTTGGAATTCAAGGATAACGCAATGTCAAAGAGATGTACTGAAGTAAATTTTGAAATTCTAAAATGTATTTCCCAAGTGGACTAATATACTGATGTAATGTGCCATATTTATAAATTACAGAAAAAATGATATCATCATTTTTACCTACATGTACATAAAAAAAATGCTATATTTCAAAACACAAATGTAACTTTAAAACTCTTCAAAACTCTTGCAGTAGGCTGAAATGTCCTTGATCATGTAATTGCTATATACCATAAAACTACATTAAATATCATATTTAATGATCAAACATTTTACTTAAGATCAAGAAGATAGATGCTTGCTATTAATTATAATAGATACTAGTTTTTAATTATAATATACTGTCAGTAGCACAAAAATCAAGCAGGCATGTATCACATTTCAATTTTAGCCTTCATATACGGCCAAAATTTTCTATTAACTTTAATTTGGCTTTAGCCTTTAGAAAACAAATTTGTCAAATGTATATTTCAACATCACTTATGAATCCCCTGCACAGTTGTAAGAATGTACCTATTATTCTATTTTCATGAAAATTCTGAAATTAGTATTTATGCCTTGAAACCCAAGTTGTAGATGGAAAATCAGAAATAAATTGGTTATTTTGAAGGCCTTTGAAATGACTCCCAACATTGACTTCCTTGTATTCACTTGGGCTACAACTAGTCACTTGCTTCTAAAAAGTAATATATGGCAGAAGCAATGACTGTCTGCTCCAAAATTCGGTTCTAAAGCCGGAGATGTCCATCTTGCTCACACTCTTTCTTGCCCTCCTACCAGCTCTGACTCAACCAGCTGCCATGTTGTGAACTTCCCTAAGGAAAGAAACACATGGCCAGAAACTGAGGGTTACCTTCAGCCAGTAGCAAGCAAGGTGCTATGTTCTGAGTGTTTGTGACTCCCCGAGTACCTATGTTGAATTTTCATCACCAAGGTTATTGTATCAAAAGACACAGGTCTTTGGGAGATGATAAAGTCATAATGTCTCTGCCTTTCTAAATGGGATTACTGCCCTTACAAAAGAAGTTCCAGAGAGCGGTCTTGCCTCTTTTACCATGTGAGGACCCAATGAGAAGGTGCCACTTATGAATGAGAGAGTGGGCGCTCACCAGACACTGAATCTGCTGGCACATTGATCACAGACTTCCCAGAATCTAGAACTAAAAGAAAGAAATTTCTGTTGTTTGTCAGCCACCCAGTTTATGGCAGTTTGTCATATCAGTCCCAAAGGACTAAGACACAAACAATCAAAACCCAGGAAATGAAAACAATCTGTGAGGAAGAGACTCTAACCAATAAGAGTGGGTGTGGAAGTGATTCTTCCCCAGTTGAACGTCCAGGTAACTACAACCTAGGGGACACCTTGATTGCAGCCTGTGAAATATTCTGAAGCAAAGAACCCAGATAAGCAATGCCTTTGCTATAAAACTGAGATGACTTGGCTATAAAACTGAGATTACAAATGTTGTTTTAAGGCACTAATTTTTGACATAATTTGTTATGCAGCAATAGACGACTGTGACACTTCTCTCTTTCAGAGCAGAGTATAATGGAACAAGACATCCTGTGTCCTGCTAACATTGTGAGGTGTGAATTGACTCTTGGTCATTATTTTATGGATAAAAATTGAACATGAAATCCCTTTAGGCAGAACGCTGGCTTACATTATATTTTCTGTGTTTTAATTAAAATATTGTTACGACTGTATTGAAACTGTGAAAGACGGTAGTTATAGTGATATACAATACTGTTTTAGAAGTTTTCTTTTTTATTTTTTTCTAGCAAATTGTCAACATTTTCCAATCACTTAAGGTTGTATAGAGGTTTTTTCAAAGCTGTGTTTTATGGACCCACCACGTTCTGTACTTATGTGTCACGTATTTATAAAAACTAAATTCATCTAATATTTAAAATATTAATATATAGACATGTTAAATATTTTGCATTAATAATGTGAGAAAAAAGCAAATAGACAAAACCTCATATCCTTTTAATGACACTAATACATATTTTAGGTGGCAGCAAGATATGAAAATAGACTGAGCAGCATGATGATTTAATGAGCACTGGGAATATGTGAAAATATTACAAGTAAACTAATGAAGTGAGAATGATGTGAGTCTGTCTGTTTTGCTTATTCTATGTAATATTTTATATGGCAAATAAGAGAAAGATTTATTACTTTGGGAAAGTTTTGACAAAGATATAACAAAAAAGAGAAAGGGGATTTTGAAGAGTTTAGATTCATTTTTAACACATCATTAAATAAACTGGCAAAAATATGTAGGAACATCTGTACTGATGGTACAAAAGCCAAAATGAGAACACAGGATTCGTTCCAAAGTGCAAATTAGGAATCAAGGTATATTTCCTGGAAAAGGGCTAGGTCATAAGAAAATGCTCACATCTTTCTAAACAGTTTTACAGAGTATCAAATATATGAAACTATGGTTTTGTGAATATGAACCTTTCAGTTATTTTTAAATGAATATTGTAAACTACTGAATTTTGCAAATCCATTAGTTTATTCAAATCGAGTGATGTGCACAATATCTAGGACACAAAGTATTGTCTTTTTCAAAAATGATTAAGAAATTCAATTTGTCAAATAGTTCTCAAATATAAGATGATAGAATGCAAATTATGTTTTTCTTAAATAAAATCGATAAGCTTAATATGAAAATATTTGATATCAATGTTAAATATATATTGATATATGTTTGACTTTAAAATAACAGTGATAAAATTAGGCTTAAGAGTTAGACATTGAAAAATAACGGATTTATATTTTTTGATGGTATTTTAGATATAAAATGAAGATTTCTATATCTCTAGATAGCATTTTTATATAATTTTGTATATGTTTGTACAATAATTAATATATTCAAGATAATATAAAATTCAGGAAGCAGGAAAATGAAATATACAGATATGCATTATCACTAACTCATTCTTCTGACTTTACCTAGATGTAAAAACTATTTTGAATTTAATGTTTACTATTTCATTGTTTTTTTGGGAAGAACATTTCCATACATTTATGTTTTCATGAAAACTATTATTTATACTTGTTTTTGAATGTTATAGAAATGATACTACATTTTCTTTTATTCTCAACATCATATTTTCAAGATTCATTTTGTTGGTAAGAGTAGTTTTGTTCCATTCATTTTTATTACATTTTTGTTATATTCTATATGTATAATATAATTTTTGATTTTCTTATTAATGTATCTACAGAATGTTTTCAATTTTTGTATTGTAAATAATGTTGTTATGAATAGCCTTCTGCCCTGCCTGTCACCTGATGTATATATGTGTGTATGTGTGTATGTACGTATATATAACATATATAATACATATATATGTATCATTATGTAACTAAGATTGAAATTGCGTGGTCATAGGTTGTATACATGATCCGTTTTATCAAACAAGTTCAAATTATTTCCCAAGGTGGTTGTACCAATTACACTTGCATTAGTTGTGCTTGAGGATGCTATTTTTCCACCTCTTTACCTGTACTTTGGTTGAGGCCTATCTAGAGGTTGTAGAAAATGTCATCTCATTGTAGCTCAATTTCCATTTACCAGATTATTAAGAAAGTATAGCATATCTTCATAGGTTTATTTGTCATTTGAATTTCCTCTTCTATGAAGTGCTTGTTTATATCTATTGCCCTTTGTGTAGCTTATCTTTAGTACACATTTTAAAACAATTATCAAATCTTATCAAAACAATTTGTCTTCCCCTTAAAGCTGAACAGTTTTAAACTGAGAAAAGCTATAACCTTGAAAAATTGTTTTCTCAAAATATTTTTCTTTTAGCTTAACTGAAAATAAGTTTATTCACATAATGAGG